CAACTGATTAATTTCCTGTTTGATGTTAGAGTTGGGAAGATAGTAGGGATTGTTCAGTGAATCAAATAGGGAAAGCAAGAGTGGGTATGGAAGTTTCCAGAAAAAAGAAGGGGTTAGAGTCAGGAAGACTCTAACATAAGCTCAACTGCAACTCCAGACACTAACTGTATGTCACTGCATAAATCACTTAACCCTGTTTGCCTCAGTTTCCTCATCTATAAAATGAATTGGGGAAGGAAATGGCAAACCATTCTAGTATCTTTGCGAGGAAAACCCCAAATAGGGTCAGGAAGAGTCAGACCACTGAAAAGCAACTCAACAATAAACAATCGGGCAGAAGGGCATGGGCTTAGAGCAGAAGCAGTAGGCCCTAAGTGAGATGTGAATCTCAGTACCCAAAACCTTTAGGGTTTTTCTTTTAAAAAAAAACTAATATAATGTCAGCTCCCTAGGGAGAGGCAAGATTTTGTTTGTTTGTTTGTTTGTTTTTGGGTGTGGTTTGTTTGTATGGGTTTTTTGGGGGGTTTTTTTGGTCTTTGTAGCTCCCTCAAGTGTTTTGCAAATAACTATGGGTTTAATACATTTTTGCATAGTTGAATTGAATTGAATTGAAAGTGATTTTCTCTATAGAGCAGCTTGATATAGCAGATTGAAGGCTGACCTCAGAGCCATCTCTGACATCTGGTGGCTGAATGATGTTGGTTGAGTCATTTAACCTCTAAGTGTTTGGGGCAATTCTAGTATTGTAAACTGCTAAGGTGCTGACCTACACTGGTAGAAGGAGTTTCCTCACCTGAGAGTTCATTATACCAACGAACTCTCAGGTTCGGTCCCTATATCTGCCCTCTTTCTCTGTCTATTCAGTTTGCCTGGGCTTGATCAGGTAGGACTTTTAACAGTGAACCAATCAGCAATCACTTATTAAGTACCTGTTTTGCTGTGACAAGTACTGAGGATACAGTGACAACAAAAATAGTCCCAGACTCATGGAATTTACATCTTAGCCCCAGCAAGGTGGGGGGTGGGAGAGCTGGTGGGGTGGTAAGAAGACTTAGGAACCACGCACAGGTACAGGTGTAAACAGACAATATATATACATATATATGTGTGCGTGTGTGTGCATACATACATACACACACATACACATATACATACAGATACAGATACAGATACATACACATACATACACACACACACACACACACACACATACACACCAAGTAAATATGAGGGGAAGGGGCACTTGGGAATGGGGGGATCAGGGAAGGCTTATATAGGCCAAATACCCATGAGTCCTATGGTTTATGAGACTTTAGTTCAGATGCATGCACTGATCCTTGCTTAGTTTTTCCTTATGGTTCACCCAGCAAATGGTTCACCCATTATAAAAGATTTGGGGGTAATTAGGACCTGAAGATGTAGGACAGAAAAGGAAAGAAAGTGATAGTGAGCTGGGGTGTTCTAGCTAGTAGGTAAGAGAGCATAGCATAAATCCAATGCTATTCTTGGATAAACAATTTAAAGCTATACTCTGCTGATGACTTTGTTGATTCAGAGCATCATTTTTATTTGCAAAGGACAATTCATACATTATTTTTAAAATTTTATTTTATAATAATAAATTTTATTATTTTAAAATATAGTTTTATCACCTTCATTTCCCAAAATATCTATCTCCCTTCAGTTCCCCCAGACAGCCATCCCTTATAACTAAGAATAAGTAATAGAAAACAAACAGGTCATCAAAACTAGTTAACCCATCAAAAATTACTAATATTATAAGTAGTATTCTGCACCCATAATCCTCATCAACAAAGGGAGTGCTTTCCCATGTCTCTTCTTTGGGACCAAGTTAAGTGATTACTATTTCATAGAATTAAGACAAATCCTGTGAGAATAAGATTCACTCATTCCCTCTCACCTTCCCCCATTTCCCCTCCACTGTAAAAGCCTTTTCTTGATTGTTTTATGTGAGAAAATTTACCCCATTCTACCTCTCCCTTTCTCCTCCTCCCAGTATAATCCTCTCTTACCCCTTAATTTTATTCTTCAGATGTCACCCCAAATCTTCAACTCCCCTTTATCTATCTGTCTATCTATCTATCTACCTATCTATCTATCTATCTATCTATCCATCCATCCATCCATATATATATATATATATATACATATAATTTTTTTCCCTCCAACTACCCTAATTCTGACAAAGGTCTCATGAGTTACCAATATCATCTTTCTATGCAGGGATATAAACAGTTCAATCTTAATTAGTTCCTTATGATTTCTCTTTCCTGTTTACCTCTTCATGTTTCTCTTGAGTCTTGTATTTGAAAGACAAATTTTCTATTCAGCTCTGGTCTTTTCATCAAGAATGCTTGGAAGTCCTCTATTTCACTGAATGTCCATTTTCCCCCTGAAGGATTATACTCAGTTTTGCTGGGTAGGTGATTCTTGGTTGTAATCCTATCTCCTTTGACCTCTGGAATATTATATTCCAAGCCCTCTGGTCCCTTAATGTAGAAGCTGCTAAATCTTGTGTTATCCTGATTGTGTTTCCACAGTACTTGAATGGTTTCTTTTTGGCTGCTTGCAATATTTTCTCCTTGACCTGGGAACTCTGGAATTTTTAAAAGTCTATATTAAATCTAACATGACAGTAACAGAACTGGCCTACTTCATTGTCTTCTGCTTTCCTCTGTATATTTTTAAATGTTTCATTGATGAAATTTTCTTTCCTTTATGAACATGGGATGTTTCATGAACCTTTGTAAGTCATCTTTGTTCAGAAGTCATGCTAATTTACTTTGTATCATTATGATTTTTGTGTATGTGGCTGAATCAAGCCTAGCTTTCTTGTTTCTTCTTTGAGTGAAATTGCATTTTTCCTGCAGTCAGCAGGGGATGGGAAGTGGTAGAGATAGGTTAATTTTTCATGCTTACTCAATAAATAACAATAATTTCTTGTGTTTACATAGATTTGAACTTAGGCCTTCCTGACTCCAGGTCTAGCACTCAATCCACTGCAACACTTAGCTGTTTCTAAAGATTTATTATGGGCTTACTATGTGCAAGGTCTTATGCCAGAGGTTGGAGACACAAGTAAAAAAATTCTAATAGTCCCTGCCCTCAAGGGGCTTATATTTTACTGAAGGAAACAACATGTACACAGATATGTACAAAATACATACAAAGTAAATACAGAGTAATTTCAGGGAAGGGAAGAATTGCTAACAACTGGGAGGACCTAGGAGTTGGTACTTGAGATGCCTTGAATATTTCAAAGGATTCCAAGAGTCACAGGTGAGGAGCGAGAGTATTTCAGGCATGGTGGACAAACTCCCAGATTGTTGTTCATCCTTCATTCTGGAGGAGGACAAATGACATCAGGAGGGTGATGTCTTGACTGTCAAGTGAATTGGATTTAAGTGAGTCAGGGCTATACTGAGTCATCAGCCTCTCTGTCTCCTCCAGAGTCATCAGAGTCCAGTGGCAAGACATAGGTCAGGACAGTTGGTGATGGACCTCTGGACAACCTATGCAAAGGAGGAGATGGAATATCTTGGTTGATTTTTGTCCTTCCTTTCTGAAGAGGACCAAAATGACATCACTATGTTGGAGTCAAGGTACGGTGTGTCTGACTGTGGGATCAGACCAATACAAGCTCGGGAGGCTCCGTGACAGGTGGGGCACGAATTGTCCATATGTACATTTGACGGGGAGCACCAGAAGGGGAGACACCCAGGGAGCTGCTGAATCCCCCTGCTGCTTCCAGTGAGAAGACAACCCTACGGCCTGGGCTGCCCAAGAGCAGGGTTGTGACTACAGCTCCTAGTGCTGCTGCTTCATCACTTGCTTGTTGCCACAGGACTTTGAGATAGGTATGAAAGATTAAATATGAGTGATTTTTTTGATTTGCGAGTAAATTGGATTTAAATGAGACATAGTTGGGCAAAGGTTAAGTGACTTGCCCAGGGTCACACAGCTAGTATGTGTCAAGTGCATGGTCTGAGTCTGGATTTGAACTCAGGTCCTCCTGACTTCAGGGCCGGTGCTCTATCTACTGCCCCACCTAGCTGCCCCCTTCTTCCTTTTGATTAACCTGTCAGAGGGTTAGAGGTTACTCTTTGGCCTCACTTTCCAATTAATTCCTTTTGTGCTCTTTGCTTTGAACCTGAAGGCTTTTATCCACTTTCCGTATTATTTTAGTTCATCCCAGCGGAAAATGGAGTTGAGACCTGGTTGGCTCTGTCTACTAATTAGCTTTGTGTACTGGTATGCCCAAGGAAGTAGCTAGGTGATCTACTAGTTAGAGCTGGGCCTGGAGTTAGGAAGACCTGGATTCAAATACAGCCTCAGACACTTACTAGATGTGTGACCCTGGGTAAATCAGTTAGCTTCTCTGTACCTTAGTTTCCACTTCTGCAAAATGGGGATAATAATGGGACCTACCTAACAGGGCTTTTATGTGAATCAAATAAAACAATATTTGTAAGCCACCTAAACATATAATGGGGGTTCAATTAATGCTCATTTCTTTTCTCTAGTAAGTTATTCATCTTTTCTGAGTCTTCTTTCTGTATCTGTAGAATAGGAATATTGATAACTACTCTAGCAACCTAGGATTGTCAAGAGGGGAAAAAATGAGATCATAAATAGAGGAGCATAATAAAAATATAAAATCACTATTATCATTATTCTGCCTCTAAGGTTACTTAGCTAGTAATGATAAGCAGCCAGGTGGTAAAGTGGATAGAGTGCTGGGCCTCAAGTCAGGAAGACTCATTTTAAGACCTGGGTTCAAATCTGGCCTCAAAAACTTACTAGCCTGGGCAAGTCACTTAACCCTGTTTGGCTAAGTTTCTTCGTCTGTAAAATGAGCTGGAGAAAGAAGTGGCAAACCACTCTAGTATCATTGCCAAGAAAATCCCAAATGGTCTCCGCAAAGAATCAGACATGACTGAATGACAACAACAACATAAGTACTGGTTTTTCAAGTGCTTTTTTAAAAATTTCTTTTATTTCAACTCTGTGACTGGACCCCACAGGAGGGTTGGAGCCCCAAGTAGGGAAGGGTTATTTGGCAAGCTCATTACTTTGACCTTTGTCCTACAGCTTATCTCATCCCAAGATTATGGCCGAGGACATTTTAATTGGTAGGCCATGGAACACTGAAACTCTTGAAATACTAGTTAATGAATTCAAAGCAGTGCATTAAATTACGTACAAGGTGAAAGAGATAGATGGCGAGGAGCAGGCATGAAAGAGAAGTTACCTAAGGGTGACTACCTCTAAACTCAGAGTTGCTCTCTGTAACTTTGTAGGGAGAGCAAGGCTGATGACATATACCAGTTTGTCCTGGATAGCAGGAAGAGAATGAATAGGTTCTCCAGGCCTAGAGATGTTGCCCCATGCTATTCCATTGTGCTGCTTACATTGTTAGTCCTGCCATGTCTCTTCCCCTTTCCCTCGGTGCATCGTTATTTCTCTTGCTTCCCATATTGAGCTGCAATTTCTGAGCTGTGCTAGGCCTCTCAGCATGACTTTCTCTGAATGGCTGACTGGAGTCTCCTTACATCTCCACCTGAGTGAAAACAACAATGCTTCCTGTGGAAAAAGACAGATGATATGTGCGTGTATAAATATGCACTCAGGGCTATATTTCTACCAGGTGCACATTTATTACCACTTACACATGTATAACCAAGTATATAAATACAATCTCCATACCTGTTAGGTATCTAAGTAGGTACAGACACATGTAGGTACTTAGAAAATGCAGAGGTCTGGAAGAAGTCTGTCAGAGGTTTTTCTGGTTCCTGTGACAGGGTAAAGTGTCCCTGAGAGCCAGCAAATACTGTAAAGGAAGAGCTATTGTTTCTTTCTGGAGGCTCAGTATTGCAGCAATGTGGACTGATGACAAGTGTGACATAGTAGGAAAAAGTATGAGAAATCAAGGCTCAGCTCTGTGATTAAGTACTTGTGTATATCCTTGGATGAGTCACTAACCTCAGTGGGCTTCAGTTTCCTCATCTGTCAAATAAAGGGTGTTTCCAGTTTATGTCCGGTCATAATTCCATTATTTGTTATCATCCTGACATCGTGGAAACACAGAAAGCAGGGATATTTTCTCCAGTATGTCTAAGGTAAGATGAAAAAAATGGGTTTCCCCAATGATATAAAGGTACTATGAACAGAGAGTTGGCCTAGATAATTGAGCTAGCTTCAATGGGCCCTCAGTCTTCTTGCTTTGGGTTTCTGGCCTTAGCAATATCTAGGATCACATGCTATTGTAGGGCTGGACTAGTTCTCAAAGCTACTATCTTTGTGGCTGTCCCTCTGTGGTTTGGGACAAGGGACTGGTCCATTAGCCTAAGGAGCTCTATGGGTACAACCCCAAAAGAAGCCAGTGTCTGAGGAGAAATCATGAAGATAAATGAAGGACCTGTATCTGCTGCTTTTGAGTAACTTGAGCTCTGAACTCTCCCTCTTAGCTGGTGCAATCTCCAAACCACAAAGTGTAGCACCAAGTGTTGCCCTGGCCAGCTCCGTTTGGGGTAGGATGAGGAATAGCGCAAGGCAGAAGAGTTTGGAAGTGTCCCTGAGACAACCTGTCAAACAGGAAAAAGAGTAGTATCCCAGAAAGTAATTGCCTAGGCCTTGAGTCTCAGTGGACTTTCTGGATGTACTAGCCTAAGCATAAATGCTTTTTTTATGTCCTATCCCCTTCCTATTATCACCAGTTTAGAAATGGAGGGGCAAGGAGGTTGGTCCAGGTGTTAAGTATGATCCTGATGTGATTTAAGAGGTGTAAAGGGGAATTTAGTTTCCCCCTAGCTCAATTGATAATAACAGAAGTAATGGGGTGTTAATTTGTTAACAAGGTATTAACTCCTGGGTGATCCCTTTATGAGGCAGTAACGGGTCTCTTGAGAGAATAAAAGGGAGTCAGCTCATTGGACAAGCAAAAACTGGATATGCCTTTGCAAGGCTTTAAATATCTAAGTCCTCAGGACACTTGTTGAGTTTGAAGAAGTGAAGGTTTTCCTGAGTGCTAGACCCCTGAGGGGTGGGGCAGGGACGTGGATTTCTCCTCCACCCCAATTAACTATGGTGTTTAGCAACTAGCTGTCTAGACAGAGAAGTCTCGCCTGGAGAGTTCATCACTTTGAGAGTTCAACATAGAGTAGAAGCTAACACTTACAAGTAGAAGCTAACACTTAAATCTCATTCTAATCTGAACTGATCAAAGGATGAAAGAACACACCAATAAAGCTGGATACAAAAATATATTTTACTCAACAGAGAAACAGGATAGAAAGAGGAGAAGGGAGAATAAAAGGGAGGGTATATTAAAGGAAGGGAATAGTCCTACACAAAACAAATTCTAAGGATATGCAAAAATATTTATAATTCTTTTTGCAATGGCAGAGAACTAGAAAGTGAGGAGAATGACTTAATTGGCGTCAATTGTAGAATGTCTAAACAAATTATAGTATATAATGGTGATAGAATACTGTTGTATTCTAAGAAATTATGAAGGAGATAGTTTCATAGAAACCTGGGAAGACTTGTATGAGTTGATGCAGGGTGAGGTGAGCTGAAGTAAGAGAATGATTTATACAATGACAGTAGTGTTATAAGGACAAACAACTTACTGTTGAAGGAGCATAATACCTTACCTTCTGGGTGGTGAAAAGAGGTGAAAGAATAAGAACGCAGATTGAGACATATTGGACACAGACAACGTGGAAAAGAGGGATGAAGGAATACGAATGCAGAATGAGACATTGGACATAGACAATGTGGAAATTTGTTTTGTTTGACTATGTATTTGTAACAGGGGGGTTGTTTTTCTATTCTTTCTCATTTAGGAGGTGGTAGAGGTGTGGGATGGAGAGAAGATGGATTTTTACTAATTGAAAAATAAATAATATTTAATTGAAAAAACCTCATTTGAAGGAACAAGGACATACACTCCAGACAGACATGGTTACAGAAATTCAATCTTTCAAGGGAGAAAGCTGCTTTAATGAATAGGACTCTCAGTAGCAATAGTAAAAAGCTGGCTATAGACTCAAGACAGAGACAGTTCTGGCAAGGGAGAATTGAACTGTGGAGAGGAGCAGACGGGGAGCCCATTTGAGCAACCCATGCAGCAGAGATGCAGCACCTGACTGGAAATTTTGTGAAGATACAAAAAGGGAAAGGACTTTTAGGCCCTGCAGTACCAACACTTGTGAGTGTCCCACTACCATTATATTTTAAATTTGTACCGATTTGAAAGTGGTTTGCATGTATTTATAGGAAAATGAGCCTCAGGTTTATGTGGGAGTAAGGTTTGACAGCTACTGTTCTTACATATTTTCATGAATACCTTTGCCAAGAATCAAATGATTCCCCCCCTCCCCTTACCTGATTGTTGAGGGGAAGGACACCAGTAGGGATTTGGGAGCTATGTATAGTGTTAGGAATGGAGCCTCACAGGGTTACCTCCTGAGAACCTAAGAATGGCAACCACCTTCTGGGAAGGGGTGCTTCAGAGGCTGAAGTTTATTGAAGGGGAGGGAAAGTAGAGAGGGGCAGATACTGGGAACATTTTCTAAATGGAAGGAGTAGGAGCTTGGAGGTTGCAGCAGGAAAGAAGAGAAATGAAAAAAGGCTAGACTGTTTTTAAGAATTATACTTAAAGGAGGAGAGAGAGAAAAGAAGGGGAAATTATTGGTGGTATGGTTCTGGGATAGATCTAAAAACTAAGTTTGGGTTCTGAGATAATGAGCCAAGTTGCCAGTTTCTCACTTCAAATCAAAAGGGCCTCAAGTAATCCCAGGAGTTTAGGCAAAAGTTTTTCAGGCATAGGGCTATGTCCTCCCCTGGAACAAGAAAGGTGATAAGAAGGGATTTTTACAAGAGTGGAGGGGGGTGGGAGAGATTCATGGTTGGAGGGGGTGGCAGAGATATGGGTCTAGAAATGTTGGGGCTCTAATTTCAGCTTAGATTCTTACATTTTCATGTCCTGCAAAGCATGTACATTATTTAAACCATGAGGCTGTCTGGAAATGGGCTGAGGGGTGAAAAGTGGGGGGAGGGTTTTCCAGGAAATTTAAAGGTAAGATTAACCAGAAGGGTAAAGTTAGGGGAATGGGAAATGAGAATCAGGATGTGTAAAAGGGAGAAGTTACTGTAAGGTGAGTTTCCCTAGATTCCTGATCTATCCTTGGTGTAGAGCCTATTATACTTTCAGGCATACCAGTATACCCAACCTCAGTCTGGCTTTCTAATGCCCTCCCATAGTTTTTAAGAGTAAATATCAGAACTGATAGACCATGCTGTTTCAGTATAAAATTCCAGAGGGGGAGGAGGAGGAACCCGAGCCAAGTGTGACTAAAACAACACCATATCTGATGGGAGATTTAGGAATCTCACTTAACTGGCAAATCTTCCTGGTATTCTTCAACCTCCGTGGCCCTCTTCATCCTTCAGAGAAGCATGATATGAAAGAGACTGCCTTGCCTACTAAGGAAAGAAAAGCTCCTGATCTGATCCCAACCAGAAAATTCCTCTGGCAAAGTCGGCAACCTATCTCAGTCACTTTTGGACCTCAGTTATTTTTCATCTATTAGTAGATGGATATTAATAAAATAATAAAATGAATTCAGATGCATTTATCAACCATCTACTTTGGGCTAGAGCCTGTACATTCAAAAACGAAAACCAGCCTAGTGCCTGACCTCCAGGGTTCCAGTCTTACTGGTGTGTATGTGACTTGTACACCAATTAGAGTACAGTAGATAAAGCACTGAGACTGAAGTTAGTAAGAGCTGAGTTCAATTTCAGCCTCAGAACTTATTAACTGTGTGACCAGGGGCGACACTTAGTTGCCTCCGTTTACTCAACTGTAAAATAGGAATTAAAACAGCACCTACTTGGTAGGGTGGTTATGAGAATCAAATGAAATAATATTTGTGAAGTGCTTAACAGTGCCTGGCGCCTAGTATGTGTTGTATAAAATGCTTATTCTCTCCTTCCCCAATAATAAGTGTAATCAAGGTAGAGTACAAGCAAGGAAGAAGTCCTGACATAGAAGTCCCCAAAATTAGGGGGTTGGAAGAATTCAAATCTCTGAGGTATTTTCCGGCTCTAACATTCTATGGCTCTATAGACATTAACACAGTGCCCCAGAAGCAGCCCGTCCAACCACCCCATGAAAACTTTGCTCTTTGTATAAGGAACCTCTCCTTGCCACCTGTCTTGCCCCTCTGAGGGACCATGGGAAACTAAAGGAATTCCCCCTTCTCCAGACCACAGGGTCTTGGGGAGAGGGTTCGGAGATGATATACTCCTTTGTAAGGGCCAGACTCGTGGTCTGAAGGGCATTAGGACCGTGAGGATCTCTTCCACTCTCCTTCTATCTCTTCCCCCCACCCCCTCCACCTCTCTCCTTTTTCTGCTCTGCAGGACTGAGCAGTGAGACAAGAGCTAAAACAAACAGCTGTGACTGAGAGAGCCAGCCAAAGCTCGAAGGGAACAGAAGACCCTATCCATACTGCCCCCCCTCCCCCGTTACACCATCCACCCTCTCCTCTCCTTCCCTCCCTCCCAACTCCCTCTACCCCCCCCCGCCCCTACTCACCCTAACCTAGCAAGCCACCTCTTCTCTAGTTTACTCCAGCTCCCAGACAGCACTGGGGTTCTCAACATGAGAAGGATCCGCGCTAATGCCATCGCAATCCTGACTGTCGCCTGGATCTTAGGCACTTTCTATTACTTATGGCAGGACAACAGATCCCATTCAGCATCCTCCAGCCGATCTCCTAGCAGCAGCGGAGGTGGCAGGAACGTACAGAGACCAGCTGGTAGGCTGGAACTCCACAGAGAAGACCGGACTATCCCCCTCATTGTGAGTAAGACCTGGTTGGCAAGAGGAGGAGAGACAAGAGCTGGGTCTCTCTCCTCCCTCCCCCTCTATGTTTATTCCATTCTCAGCTCCTCCCGCCGCCCCCCACCCCAGAATCGCTGAGAAACTGCATAGAGTGGGGCGGCCCCAGAGCGAGGTGCTATCCCGAGGGACAGCCGGGCCCCGTTTGACAAGAGAGCTAGTGTGGGCGGGGGCAGCTGCGAGCTTTGCCTGGACATCTTTGTATATATTGGAGAATTCCTGTCCGTTGTTATGGCAACATTTACAATGATGGAAAGGGGCTGGGCCTGCGGACGGGGAAGAAGGGAATTGTGTGTGATGTGTGTGTGTGTGTGTGTGTGTGTGTGTGTGTATTGGGGGCAGGGGGTGAGGGTGGCTCAAACTGCCACCGGTTTTGAAGGGAAAAGTGACAAGAGAATGGGGGTAGGGGTAGGAGGAGAATTGACGGCTGTAGAGAAAAGTGTCTTGTGAGTTTGGCGGGCCAGGCTTGCGCGGGTTGCTGCTGCTCGGGGTGAGGGATGTGGCAGCTCTCCCAGGCGCAGAGAGGAGGGAGGGGGAGACAGGGGGACGGACCGGGTGCAGCGCGCCTCCTTGGCCGCCGGCTGGATTTTGGCTGGGCCCGCTCTCAAGCTGTGGCTGCAATGGGGCGAGATCCGGTGGAGACCGCGGCAGACCGGGCCCTAGTCCGTAGGAGGAGACGGATGTTCTGTGCGTGAAGTTGGCTCCGGGCTCCAGCACCCTGGCGCAGAGGCCCTGCCAGACCGAGCGGTTAGATCGCAGCCAGGATGGCATCCCGCTAGCCGGCTTGGTTTGGGTCGCTAGGACGCTTGGAGCCCACAGTTCGCTTGTTTGCAGGACAGAGCCCTGCAAACTCGAGCATCCTTTTCTGGGTCCTTGTCCTCCCAAGCATTCCCAACTTTTCCCTGTTTCTGCAAAGAGACCTGATCCTCAACATTCTTCCTTCACCCAAGTGCTGTGTGTGTTGTGTGTGTGTGTGTGCGTGCGCGTGTATATGTGTTTAATGAGGAGGGTGGGAGGCTGAGGGTCTCTTCGTGCTTATCCGCCTTTCCTCCAGTCTCCCAGTTAGATGGAATTTCTGGCTTAGAGGACTTTGCATCCTCGACTCTCCGTGGCCTCTCCCGTCCTCCTCTGCGAAGCCTCTGGGGGCGCCCACGGGTTGCAGCAGTGTGTGTGTGTGTGTGTGTGTGTGTGTGTGTGTGTGTGTGTGTGTGTGTGTGTGGCCCCTCCACATGATTCACTCCACTGGAGGTCAGACCTGAAACGTCAAAGGAAACTTAGAAACAAAGCGGGGTCTAGGCTGGAGGTACTAGGCGGCGAGGGTGAGTCAGGACTTCGAGGGGATGCTGCCCTAGCTCAGCCTCCTCCGCCTGACGTAGCTCGAGGCCCTTTGTTAGTGCAAAGCTCTCAGTTGACCTGCTGGAGGGAGTCCATTGACTGCCTCGACCCCTTGGACTCCGTGGTTGGTGTGGTGTGCTGGAAGGCCAAGCACACTTGTGGAAAAAGCAGGATTTGCGGCCCCCTACCCCCACCCCCAGCCATTCCGAAGTTGTGGGCACCTTTAAGGCGCTTCCAGTTCGGGAGAAAGCTTTCAGACTCGAGAAGTAGAAGAAATGGGCTGGCCGGCTGGAGTGGGGGTGGGGATGGGGTTGGAGCAAAGAGTAGAACCAGAGAGATATGAAGGGAAAGTATCAGGAAGAGGTAGGGAAGGGAAGAACTAGAAATACGGCGAATCTGAGAAGAGCATTTGCTATAAAAGGAAGGGAAGAAAATTGGAAGGGGGATTCAAGAAATTTACCCGAAGCCCGAGGTTGAGGTGTCTCCCCTAGGGAACAGGAGGGACAATTAAAAAGTGCTTTGAGCGCCTTTCCTTTTCCACAGCTGCTGTAGGTGTTTTTCCATTTAAACAAATAATAGCAACCGAGATTTTGACTTGGGAGGCATGGTGGACAAGTACTCTGAACGTGATTCTCCCTTCATAGCTTAGTTCATCTGCTGTCTCTTCTGTGGGTGACTTGTTACCTCTCTGCGTCCCAGTTTTCATACCTGTAAAGTAAAACGATGCTAATGACGATAACCCTTATCTAGTCCTTGGAAAAAAGTTGCTAAAGGAAAAATTCTTCATTTTTAGGATCAAGGATAAACTCCAACAGAATGAACCAAAATAGCCCCCAAAGTGCACTAGAATCATCTGTCTACTCTAATTTTCTTGAACAACATTTGGATCTGCTCTTAAGCCCTGGAGGAGGGGGGAGGGGACACGACTCCTGATCTCTAGTTCTCTCAGCATACACTTTCCATCGGATACGATAAATAATATTAGTGAGTGATGTGCAGAGAGGAGGAAATGGACTAAAGAAGGAAAGAGAAAGAGAAATGTTTCATCCTTGCTGCTTAGGGTCCTGGGTCTGGGTCTTGATAAAATTCTTATTCTTTCAGATTTCCTGAATCTTGGGAGGATTGGCCTCTTATTCTTCACTTTGTCCTCACTCCCACCCCTACCCAATGCTTCTTTGAGTTTCCTCTGTCAGGGCAGCCTGATATCTTGCCCAAGTCCTGCTGAAAGTCCCTAGAGATGCTGTGCTGGATTTTTGATTTCGCCAGATTCCTTTTTAGGGAGGGATTTTCTCAAATTCCTATAGGTTAGGGTCAGCTTGGAGAAAGCCTTAAATATATTGTTATAAGATAGATATAGAGGGATGGTCTGGAAAGTGGGTTTTTAAAATCAGGTCATTGGAAATATGGTTGAGAGAAGGAGTCAAGGGAAGAGGGAGGCTGAATTTAAAGGAAATTGGAGAGCCTTCTCCAAGCAGTAATCTCTAATGTTCTCTGAATTCATTCATTCAGTCAATAAATATTTATAGCATTAATTGTCTATACCACTCTTTTGACACAGGTTATCATACTGCCTCATCACATCTCCTGTATTGTCTTGTTTTGCTGTTCAATTTCCATGGATAGAGACCATGTGTCCTATTTATTATTTATCTCACCAACTCCAGTTCTCTATGCACATAGCAATATTCAGCATTTGAGTTTTTTTAATTTTTTTATAAAGGAAACCAATTTTTGTTGAAATGCAGTCTTCTTTTTTTGTATTTATTTTTAGTTTTCAACATTCACTTCCACGAGATTTTAAGTTCCAAAATTTCTCCCCATCCTTCCCCTCCCCCCACCCCATGACAGCCATGCATTCTGATTCCCCTTCACCCAATCTGTTCTCCCTTCTATTACTCCCCTTCTCTTATTCAGCATTTGTTAAATTAATGGAATAATAAAGTCCCCAGAGACTTCACTTTCTTTGTCAAAGTGTGAAGTAGAGAATGAAAGTTGGAGTTAGAAACGGGGGCAAATAACAGGCAAATGTGAGATATTCACAGTAGGAGGGGAGGCTTTGGGTCAGTTAAATGAGATAGCAAGCACTCCTTGGTGTGCACCTTTGATGCCTCACTCTCCTTCTTCTCTGGCCCTCTAATCCATAGGCCATGTTACTCTGCTTTCCATTTCATGCCACCTTAGCCTGAGCTGATTTTATGAAGCACTTTTCTCTGCTTCTCCTAGAGCTGGGATCTTTGGAGTTAATCAAATATATAATACCAGCACTCTCTCTTGGTATTAACAAGCTCTCTTACAAGTTACAAATGCAGCAGAAATTTTCCTCCCTCTCTGAAGTTTGGAAACCATCTGATCTCATTCTCTCTGTTTCCAAGTTATTTCCCTGCCTAGTTAAGTTGAAATATTTTATGAGGATGTTTCAGACCTATTTACTGCCAGCTAATGGGGAGAGGCAGAGAAAATGTAGCAGAGTCATCATTGCCTTCCAGGAAGAAGTACAAAAATGTGCCAAATACCTAGGAAGAGAGAAAGCTTATCTTGTATCTCTTCTAGCTTCTAGCAAGGTACGTCATACAAAGTAGGTACTTAATAAAAGTTGAATAATAAATGAATGGATAAATAAGTCACTTGAATGTGCAACCTGTTTTTTTTTTTTTAACCTAATAGCGTGTTCCAGGAGTCTGGGTTCCCATTTTCTCTGTATAGTTCTTTTATATTAACTGGGCTATATAACCGCTGTCTGACTCAGTTTCCTCATTTGTAAAATGGAGGTAATAATAGCACCTACCTCCCAGGGTTATTGTGAGGATTAATGAGTTTAATATTTGTAAAGTGCCTAGCAGAGTACATGACACATAATGAGTGATTAATATATATTTGTTTTCCTCCCTCTGACCTCCACCCCACCCCCATGTGAAATTACTAACAAGATTTGGTGTCTATATGAGAGCCAAAGGGAGATACAGGGTTGTTTCTTTGGGGACAGTTCAAAATGTTATGGTATTTGGGACTTTGATGTAACATAATTTGCAAATTAATTAGGTAGCTAGATGGTGCAGCAGATAAAACAAAGGACTCTTGGAGTCAGGAAGACCTGAATCTTGCCTCAGACACTTAACTAATTGTATAAGCCTGGGCAAGTCACATAATCTCTCTATGACTCAGTTTCTTTATTTGTAAGATGGGTATGATAATAATAGCACCTGCCCCACAATGCTGTTGTTAACAGTAACATGATTTAACATATGTATGGTGCTTTGCAAACCTTGAAATGCCATCTAAATGCTAGTTATTATTATTATTATTATTATTATTATTATTATTATTATTATTATTAAATTATGGTATCTCTATGTTGGAAGGGACTCGAAAGTCACCTAGTCCCATCCATATCTGAGCAGGAACTCTTTTTACAATCCCTGAGAAGTGGTCACCTAGCCTCAGCTTGAAAAATCTCTAGTGATGTTGGGAAACTTGATACCAGTTGAAATCATTCCACTTTTGTATGGCTGTAATTGGTTGTTGTTTTTTTTCCTGATGAAATCTTAACCTCTGCAACTTCTATCCATGATTCTGTTCTGTTTGTGGGGTCACATAAAATACTTTCCCACATGGCAGTGCCTTGGAGA